GTATGCCCCTGAAAGTAATGCATCAGTTTTCTTGCTGCCATGACGAGAGCAAGGATGAGTTTTTCCAATGGAAGGTAACGTGTTTCGGCGTCAACCATTGCTTTGCTTACATAATACACTGGCCGTTGCTCCCCAAGTTCTTCCTTTAATAGTATGGCGTTGACGGCCTGATCGAAACCTGCTAGATATAAAATGAGAGGATCACCTGCCGAAGGTGTTGTCCAAAGTGGAACTGATCGGAGGTAAGTCTTCAAACTGCTCAAAGCAGCTTCGCACTCGGAGGTCCATTCGAAAGCTTTGGTCTACCGAAGGGTATGAAAGAATTGTCGGCAGCGATCTGTGGATCAACTGATGAACCTGTTGAGTACGGTAGCCATCCCCAACAGCTTTTGAACCTCCTTGATCGACCGAGGAGAGCCGAGTTCTAGAATTGCTGTGATTTGCCTCGAGTTGGCTTCGATTTCGCGGTGGTTAACAATGTAGCCAAGGAATTTGCCATATCCGATCCCAAATGCACACTTGGAGGCATTTAGCTTCATTTTGTACTTGCGCAGAATACCAAATGTCTCTTCCAGGTCGGCTAGATAAGTTTTTTCTTCTTTGGACTTGACCACCATATCGTCAATGTACACCTCCATAGTATAACTGAGTTGCTCTTTGAACATGGCAGTGACCAATCTTTGGTAAGTTGCCCCTGCATTCTTCAGCCCGAAAGGCATAACCTTATAGTAGTAGGTTCCTCTTGGGGTGAGGAATGCAGTCTTTTCTTGATCCTCCAGATGCATGGCAATTTGATGGTAGCCCCTGTAGGCATCTAGGAAGCTCATACATTGATGGTGTGTCGTGGCATCCACAAGTTGGTCTATTCTGGGGAGGGGAAAACAGTCCTTAGGGCAAGCTTCGTTTAAATCCGTGAAATCCACACAAACGTGCCAAGTCCCATTTTTCTTCTTTACCACCATTGTATTTGACAGCCATGTAGGATAGGTCACTTCTCGGATTGCTCCGGCATCAGGCAACCGATCAACTTCTTCAACAACGGCAGCAGCATGCTCTGCGGCTGACCGCTAACTTTTTTGAATAATCGGCTTACATTTGGGGTCAACATTTAAACGGTGCTGAGAGACGGACGGATCCACCCCCGGCATTTCATACGGCGACCATGCAAATACATCCAAGTTGCCGAGTAAGAAGGAAATCAGTTGTTGCCTGTTTGCTTTATTTAGGGAGGCGCTGACCATGAAGAACCTGTCAGGGTTCCTATCAATTTCAACTCGGTCCAAGGCTTCCGTTGCCTTTTCACTTGGGAGCCGCCCAACATTGTCGAGGCTCTCTCGATTCGGTACCTCAATAGAATTCATTTCTAGCTCTCTTGGTGTTTTTGCGGCAAGAAGATAGCACATTTGCGCCGATTTTTGGGAACCACAAATTTGTTCAATGCCGTGTTCAGTAGAGAAGCGAAGTAGTTGGTGGTAGGTGCTTGGAATAGCTTGCATGATGTGCAGCCAGGTTCGTCCCATGATGAGATTATACGGCGAGGGATGCTTGACAACCAAAAATTCAACATCCACTGATCGGGAGCCCGCCCGAACTGGTAATGTGATTTTGCCCAACGGGTATTCTGAATTAGCGTTGAAACCGAATAACGGGTAATGAGCCGGGGACAGGTCTGAGTTAGTGAAGCCGAGTTTGATGAAAGTCTTGTAGTACATAACTTTTGAAGTACTCCCCTGATCAATGAGAACGCGTTCAATGGTGAATCGATTTACGCGTAGTTCGATGACCAAGGGATCAATGTGTGGGAGCGTTATGCCGACCAAATCAGCATCATCAAAAGAAATACTCGGTGCTTCATTGGGCCGTTTCGCTGGTGTGAGTTGCCTCTGGCGGTCAGGATGCGACTGAATTGTACGCACCGCGGAAGCTGTTGGTAGGGTGTAAATCATATGGATTACGCCGAGTGGAGGTGATTCTTGTCGTAAAGCAATTGTCTTGGTGGAACTGTTCTTTCGGACGTGTTGCTTAAGCCGACCGTCTTGTACCAACTCCTCAAGATGATCTTTCAAGGCATAGCACCTGTCGGTATCATGTCTGTGGTCTTTATGATATTCGCACCGTCAATCCCGTCTCCTCGTGTCAGGTGGTCCGACCATCTTGGATGGCCATTTGAAGAACGAAAGATGTTGAATTTTAGACATAACCGTGCTAATCGGCTTCGAAAACTCCGTATATTTCTTCTCCGTACGCCTGATGCGCCTGCTATCCACTTGAAGTTGTTCACTAGCCCGTGGCGGACATTGTTCGTTTGATCGGCGTGAATCTCGTCTTTTGTCACGTTTAGACCGACTCCGTCGTCCAGGGCTCTGCGAGGGTACAGAACTTATCGGCTAAACGATCTCAGATGGGGCTGTCTTGATTGCCTTGTGCCCGGCTTTAACCCGCAGGGCGTCATCCTCCACTTTGTAGTATTCCTCTACTTTTTTCATTAGCGACCAGACTGTTTTTGGGGGCCTTCTGGTCAAGGAGCTACGGAGGGCACTATCAGGGTGTAACCCCATTTTAAAGGCGGTGATGGCCATGGAGTCGTTGCATGGATTATCTACGAGATTAAAGCATTCCCAATAGCGCGCCGAATAAGCACGTAGGGTCTCCCCTGATTGAATTTGCATTGCCCAGAGAGAATCGGCATGCTTCGGCTGGACCTCATTGGTGATGAACCTTGCTTTGAAGGATTTTTGGAGCTGGTGGAAGCTCTTAATGGATGCCGGCTCCAATTTATAATATCATCTGACGGCCAATGGTCCCAAATTGTTGGGAAATATTCTACACATGAGGGCCTCGTCGTCTGCATGCAGTGTCGTGGCTTGCTTGTAATGACGGATATGATCGGTGGGGTCTGATTTGCCATCATACAGGGTGAACGATGGAGCTTTGAACTTTTTGGGTAGTACCAACCTTGCAATCCGTGGCACAAAGGGGTCATGTTGATCCTCTTCGTCTGAAGCATTTCTTCTTCGTTTAGTCCTTGGACGCGGACTCCCCTCAGAAGAACTGGAGACCACGACCCGTCATTTCTTTTTGGATTTTGGGGATGACGAGTCAAAATCAGTGCTACTGTCTTGTCTCTGAATTTGAGGTTGTCGACGATCCTTTCTCAGAGGTCGTTCTGGATCTTGGCGCACAACCTGTTGGGATTTTGCCACCTCCAGGGCTAAATCTTGTCGAAGGCACTCATTCTCTGCTATCATGTTCTCCAACCTTTGTTCGTTTTGCTTTGCTTGATCCATAATTGCTTTCATTGTCTCACGTGCTGATGTTGAGGGTGACGTCGGGGCAGTTGAGTCGAAGTTCAAAGCTCTTCGTGCGTTAACATTTTCTGGTCAAAGCAGGTTGCTTGGAGTGGTATCAACTTGTGGTGTAAGGTCGTCAGCGAGGATCTTCCTTCACGCCCGCCATGGATGTGCTGGAGTAATTCCCACAGATGGCGCCAATTGTGGTGATGTGGTTTGGAAATACTCTTTGAATCCAATGTGACACTCGAGATTCTCAGCCAATCACTTGAAAAGGAATGAACACTCTGGTTGGTGGTGCCAGAATTAGCACTCCGACGGATAAGTCAGTATATATCTCACGTTTGCTTAAGTCTTAAGTTTCTTGGATTTTTTCACTCATACCTCTATTTTGGCTGTCCTTCCTTTATATATACTTGTTCTGTGGGCCTCAGGGTCTGGCCCACTTTTAATCCACCCTGTGAATGTTCGCTCGGCTTCTTCCATCATGAATCAATTCCCACTCGGCTCCTTGCTTAACTAGTTCTGCGACCGACTAGTATGTTCGGCTTCTGAGTGATACAAGATGGGGCGAATGAGATGTTCACATAATAAGCTTCCAAGTATGTACTTGGCCTTTCTGCAATCGTCAAAACTCGGCTCCAACACAATGTTTTAGGAGACAAAAGGTTAAGTTTAATCTATAAATGGAATAAAGCAATAATACTCAAAAAACTAAACACATAATGAAATATAGATATCTTACAAAGGGTGAGATCCCCAAGGATGGATCTAGGGGGTGTAGAGGGAGGCGACCACACTCCCAAAAATTTAGAAAATATCATATATTATGTTAGAAAATTTAAAATAATTAAAAATAATAAGGATTTACACCTCCAAATATACGTGAGACCTACCTTTTATGAGATATTATTGCTAAATTCCTAACACTAACAACTTTTTAATGTATATTTATATATATCTAGACAAGTAATTGGTAGAATCATTGGTAGGCAACAAACCATTTTCCTATTAGGACACTCTCTGCTACCTTGGTGCAACTTGAGTTCAGGTTTAACTCTCTTAGTGTTGGCTATGTTAAAAAATCATGAATTTGTGGGGGGTCCCTCATCCATCTCCTAAATAGTCTTCTTTCGCTTTTAGTTTATTTAAATTATTTTGGTTTTGTAATATATATAAATAAAAGGTTCACTAAATAATCTATCACATTTTTAAAATAAAAAATATGTATATTGCAAATAACTCAAATAATCTGTATCAAATACCCTATTATAATATTGCTAAATTCCTAACACTAACAACTTTTTAATGTATATTTATATATATCTAGACAAGTAATTGGTAGAATCATTGGTAGGCAACAAACCATTTTCCTATTAGGACACTCTCTGCTACCTTGGTGCAACTTGAGTTCAGGTTTAACTCTCTTAGTGTTGGCTATGTTAAAAAATCATGAATTTGTGGGGGGTCCCTCATCCATCTCCTAAATAGTCTTCTTTCGCTTTTAGTTTATTTAAATTATTTTGGTTTTGTAATATATATAAATAAAAGGTTCACTAAATAATCTATCACATTTTTAAAATAAAAAATATGTATATTGCAAATAACTCAAATAATCTGTATCAAATACCCTATTATAATATTGCTAAATTCCTAACACTAACAACTTTTTAATGTATATTTATATATATCTGGACAAGTAACACATGTTCCACTGCCATGGCTCTTCAACAACTTAAAGTACTTTATTTGGAGTCTTGTCCAGTGATGGAAGAAGTTATTGCAGCAACAGAGGATGGGCTCAAGGAAGTGATTGATGTGATTGAATTCCCAAAGTTGGAGTGGCTAATACTGAAAGATCTACCAAACCTCAACAGTTTTTGTAATGCAAACTATAATTTTAATTTGCCATCATTAAACAGAGTTGTTCTGAAGAGGTGTCCGGATATGCACAACTTTACTTTGGGACAAGTACGCATGTCACAGATATTTGTAAGTACACGTGGCAATGAAGGCCTTTGGACAGAAGATCTCAATAAGTATTTAGAGGAACGACTTCTGAAAGGAGAGGTAGACTTTCTTTTTCAACTTGATTTACGGTTAATTATTTTTGTCAGTTGATGAACTCTTTTATCTTTGAACATTTACAAGAGACTACTAAACTGGAGTGCTTCATATGTATTTTTTGTTCATATGTATTTTACTTTCTTTTCTTTTAGGAATGCGCAACCGTGGATGAAAGTGATTTTGACATCGAAGAAGAAGACTTCTCTAACCTTTATCGGCTTAGATGGGTAAAGTAAGTTGATCATCCTTTATTATAAATATATATATATATATATATGTATACATTTCATAATATTTATAAGAAAATTTTATAATAAACACGTTAAAAAAAAAGTGTATCATATGTCTAGTTATGATTTTATAAGCTGAATGTAATAAGTTGATATCCTCCTTTATTTAAAAAAAAATAAAATAAAATTATGATGGTGATCCCTATATTTTACTTGTGTCATTTTGGTCTATACGCTTTCAATTACCTCAATTTTAACTCCTAATTTTAAATTTTATTTTAATTTGGTCCAATTAATAATATTGTTAGTTTTTTTTTTTTTTTATAAGGAAAATCACTAAATTGATTGAGATTAATTAAATGAGTTGAGTAAGTTTATAATTTTACCCTTAAGAATATGGCACATGATACTTATATGTGTATTTTTCATTAAAAAATGCTAAGAGTTGTAATTGAATCAAATTGAGATAAAATCATAAATTTAGGGTCAAAATCGAGCCAATTGAAAATACAAAGACTAAAATGACGCAAGAGGTAAAGTACAGGGACTATTGTCTTAATTTTCCCAATATATATATATATATATAGGGTAATGCTACCATATACAAGTTATGTTATTTGTGAGTTTGATTATCACAAATGACATAACTCAATACTATGGGAATCATATATATATAAAAAATAAATAAATAAAAACTTTTGAGTTATAACCAAACATCACATTAGGTATAACCAAACAACTCTTAAATCTTCACCGAAATAATTTCATAACCAATATCACAATGTGTCATAACTAACAAGATAACATGTCATAATCAAAGATACAAAAGTGTAAACCAAAGCATAGAATTTCCGAATATTATATATATATACATATTTCATAATATTTATAAGGGAATTCTATATAACACTTTAACAAATGATGTATTATATGCCTGACTTTTTGTAGTCATTAGTTATGACTTATTTAATTATAATTAATTATAGATGTTATTTTGGTTATAACTGAAGAAATTTTTGATAATACCTCAAGTGATATTAGATTATGATGTGTTTTGGTGTTGGTTATAACTCGTTGTAATGTTGGCTATAATTTAATTATGACTTACTGTAATTGTTATTTTGGTCTAACCGGAGAATTTATTGGTTATATCTAAAGTGATATTTAATTATGATTTATTGTGGTCCTTCTGCTTATGACTGAAAGTTGTATTAAAATCACAAAAAATAACTTAACTTGCATGTGGTGCACTCCAAAATAGGAGTTTTGTAGAAGCTCCTTTTATTCTGTATGTTTGGTGTAACTGGTAAGCTAAAAGTTGATAACAAAAAAAATAAAAAAATAAAAAAGCACTCCCTCTTCCATCTCCTAAATAGTCTTCTTTCGCTTTTAGTTTATTTAAATTATTTTGGTTTTGTAATATATATAAATAAAAGGTTCACTAAATAATCTATCACATTTTTAAAATAAAAAATATGTATATTGCAAATAACTCAAATAATCTGTATCAAATACCCTATTATAATATTGCTAAATTCCTAACACTAACAACTTTTTAATGTATATTTATATATATCTAGACAAGTAATTGGTAGAATCATTGGTAGGCAACAAACCATTTTCCTATTAGGACACTCTCTGCTACCTTGGTGCAACTTGAGTTCAGGTTTAACTCTCTTAGTGTAGGCTATGTTAAAAAATCATGAATTTGTGGAGGGATAGTGAATTCAAATAAAAACAAAATGAAAAAAAAAAGAAGAAAATGAAGTAAAATAAACTAAATTTATTTAATCTATTTTTTTTTTCTCTTGACAAATATGCTATGTAGAAATTGAATCATTCCAATCATTAAAAAATAAAAAAATAATAAAGAAGAAGAAGAAGTAGTAGTAGTAGTAGTAGTAGTAGTAAGAAAACAAAACAAAACACAGAACATAAGATAGACATGATACGTTCTAGTTCTTTCCCTTCATAAAAAAACTCTTGACAATAAATCTGAACATGTAGTCAAAAATAATAGATACCTCACAACAAAATTCAAAATCCAAACATAATGTTAAGATTTGAGTCCCTTTACTAAAAATTTTTTGAAAAGGAAAACTAATCAAAAGGTACCTGTACATATTAATTCAATAAGAGAAATTATTTGAATTTTTATTTTATTCAGTAGTCTCTTTCACAAATCGCTTCTCAAATGAAAAATCTAAAAGTCCATATCAAAAATTTTGAATTTTGTTTTCTTAAATGATTAAATTCAAAATTCTTTTTGAAATTATAAAATCTCCATGCATCTTCTAACAATTTTTTCTAAGGAATTGTATATTTTGTTTTACTTTGACTCCATCAATATTTTGTGTGCAGTTAGATATGATCGAGTTCAAGTTGCTGAGATTGGCGTATGCTGGATTACCCTCCTACACTCAATGGCAAACTTATTGTTTCTTCCAATAAGTTAAAAAATAAAAAATAAATTTTTAGATGATTTCTAATTCCCGTCATTTGTGTCTACGTTGTCATATACTACTACATTAGTGTGTTTATTGCAAAACTATTCAGCTACCTATAGTTGTATCAGAAATGATATATATATATATACATGTGTGTGTGTGTGTGTGTGCGTGCGTGGTAGTAATAAACCTAAATGTAATGTCATATTACTCTATCTTGGTTCTTGGACTTGTTGATGAGATAGAATTTGTATGATTTTAGATGCTAGGTATGCTAATTATGTGGGATATACACTTGCAGGGTATTTATTTATTTATTTATCAGCAAATACACAAGCAATTTTGTTGGGATTTCATAATCATAATTCTTTTGAAAGAAACATGGATGAATAGGCTTTATAATTAGGCTGGTTAAACTAGCCAGGCCAGGGAGAAATATTGTCAGTCCATGTTAGTTGAGACTCAACATGGAGATCGGCGACAAATTTAGCCATAAAAAAGGTACTTGCATAGAAAGAGATCCTAGAATTAGTTAGTGAATATGATATATATATATATATATATATATTCACTATATATGGGGAGTGTTGGAGGCTTATTGTGTGTTTGGAACCGTGAAGTTTTTATGATGTCAGAGTGTTGTTGCAGCAAGCATTTCATAGTGCTCTTAGGTATGACTTCTGATCTTTTTGAGTGTGTGACTTCAAATATTTACGCACCCAATGATGTTGATAGTAGAGGTAAGTTGTGGGATACACTTGTAAGGATTAAAAATGATTTCCAAAAACCTTGGTGTGCTGGAGGGGATTTTAATGAAATCAGGTATTTATCTAAGGGAAAAGGAGTATCTAGAAGGGATAAAGGGATGAGAGAGTCTGGTAACTTCATTGAAAAAATGAAATTGGATGATTTAGCAATGGTAGAGAGAAGCTTTACAAGGTGCAATTCACTTGATGTGGAGAGGTGGAGTAGGATTGACAGATTCTTAATTGATCCAAGGTGGTTGGAGAAGTTTAAGTTTCAATTATGGGGTTTACCTAGGGATGTATCAGTTCATTACCTTATATTACTTAGGAAGGATGGTAGGAATTGGGGTCCTAGACCATTTAGATTCTTGAATGCTTGGACCCTATATCCTAATTTCCTTAAAACAATGTAGAAATCTTAGGCAGACTCAAAGATTGATGGTTGGGTTAGGTATAGATTTGTCAGCAAATTGAACTCTTCGAAGAGTGATCTAAAAAAATGAAATCAGGATTTGGAAATGTGGATCACCAGCTTAAGATGACATAGGATGAATTACGTGATTTTGATTTGAGACCTGAATGAAGAGAATTACTACCACAAGAGGTGTCAATGAGAAGGGAGGTTAGAAGTTTGGTTTGGAATTTGAGGAAGAAAAATGAGTGGGTATGGTTACAGAAGTCAAGATTGTAATGGACAGTAAATGGGGATAAAAACACAAGGTTTTTTTTTCCCATCTAATGGCCAACAAAAGATTTACCAAAAATCTGGTGGATTCACTAGAGGTTGATGGGGTTAGAGTTAAGGGGCCGGATCAAGTGAAACAAGAAATGTTAAGGCACTTTTCTATGTTGTTAAAAGAAGACTAGGCATCAAGGCCGAAGTTAGTTGGTTCTATTCCAATAGTGAGTAGATCAAAGGTTGTGGAGATACTTGAAGCTGAGTTCTTTGATACGGAAGTTTGGGAAGCAGTTACGGATTGCGATGGAAACAAAGCACCTGGGCTAGATGGGTTTAATTTGTCATGCATTCAACAGTGCTGGAAGTTCATGAAGGGTGGGTTGATTCAACTTGTGAAGGAATTTCATTCTAATGGGAAGATTGTGAAGGCTTGAATTGTTCATTTATAACTTTGATTCCTAAAAGGATAGTCCCAATGGTTTGAGTTATTATGGGTAGATTAGTTTGGTTAGTTCTTCTTATAAAATATTGGCTAAATTGCTCTCAAGAAGAATTAGAAAGGTATTGCCAGATGTTATTGGTAAAGTACAATTAGCATTTCTTGGAGATAGAAATATTTTTTATTGGATGATGATAGCAAATAAGGTGGTTGATTGGTGGAAGAATACAAAAAAGAAGGGAGTTGTCTTGAAAGTTGACTTTGAGAAGGCCTATGACTCTGTGAACTGGAACTATCTGTTTTATATGATGTCCAACATTGGGTTAGGTGACAAATGAAAGAAATGGATGGTTTCTTGTGTAACCAAGGCAAGAATTTCAGTATTAGTGAATGGGTCTCCAACATATGCGTTTTCTCCTCAAAAAGGGATTAGGTAAGGTGATCCCCTGTCACCTTTTCTTTTCAACATAGCAGCTGAAGGGCTCAACATTCTATTAGAAAGGGTGAAGGAGATAGACCAGTTAAAGGGTGCTTCTATTGGGCCATTTGAGTTGAAGCTTTCTCATCTTCAGTTTCCAAACAATACTATAATCTTTTGTGAAGTTGTGGTGGAGGAAATTATAGTTATTAAAAGGATGCTTAGATGTTTTGAAGTGATATCAGGGCTTAAGATTAATTTTCACAAGAGTGTAGTGTGTGGTGTAGGAATGTATGATAAGAAGATCTAGGAGTTTACCTCTATTCTAAATTGTACAAGTAAAAAGCTACCTCTAAAGTATTTAGGTTTTCCTCTTGGTGCTAGCCCAAAAAGCAAGAGATGTGGAATCCAGTGGTTGATAAGATCAGGTTCAAGTTGGCATCATGGAAATTTTTTTTTGTCTTTTCCTAGTAGGTTGATTTTGATATGGTTGGTATTGTCAAATTTACCATGTTATTATCTGTCTTTATATTTAATTCCAAAAGGAGTGGCCAAGGTGATCGATAGGTTGCAAGCTTCTTTTCTTTCCGCCGGGGGAGGGGGGGGGAGAGAGTCAAATCTAAAGAGAAAGGTGCATATGGTTAAATAGGGGGATGTGTCAATGTCAAAAGAGCAAGGAGGGTTAGGCATTAGGAGAATTAAGGAGGTGAATGAGGTTTTGTTATTGAAATGGTGGTGGAGGTATGGGGTGGATGACAAAGCTTTGTCAAAACAAGTGTTAATTAGCAAGTATGGATCACAAGGGGGAAGATGGTTACCTGATTGGAATTTTGAAGAAGATAGGAAGGTATCTAGGATTTGGAGTGACATATTGCAAGTAGTGAGGTCTAACTCTTCCCTTCATGATTTTTATGTAAGTAATATAAAGATAGGGATTGGGGATGGTTGTAGAATTCATTTATGGTCTGACATGTGGCATATGAACATTCAAACTAAGGAGGAATTTCCTAGGTTGTATAGCTTATCTGTGGATAAAGAAGGAACCTTGAAGGATTTTGTTCGAAGAAGATAGAGATCTAGAGGTTGGGTGTTTAATTTTAGGACTCTTCTAGCTTGGGAAGAGGAGGAGGTTGCTAGATTACAAGGCTGGCTATCAAAAGCACCAGATCTTAGTTTAAATAGCCTTGATAACTTGTCTTGGGAGGCTGCTTCTTCAGGTCTTTTTTCTATTGCATCAGTCAGGAATTTGTGTGAAGCCAAATGTGGACCTAGGCTAAAAGTAGCCAAGTGGATGTGGCAAAATGCAGCTCCACTAAAAGCACAATTCTTTGGTTGGTTAGCTTGGAAAGGTAGGGTCAAAACAACAGGTTTCTTACCCAACATTAGGGTCGTTAGATGTAGTGAAGATAGCATGTGCCCTTTTTGCAAATCTGAGGTGGAAACAAGATCTCATGTGCTGATTCACTACCCCCAAGTATGGAAGATGTGGTCAACCCTATTGGATTGGTGGGAAATTAGTTGGGTACCACCTACAAACGTAGAGGGCCTGTTGAATTGGTGGATGAGGGTGAAGTTTAGAAAATTGGAATTACAGATTTTGAAGATATTACCTTTTGCCATGTTGTGGTCTATTTGGAATGTAAGGAATGAGTATGTATTTAATGACCATATACCAAACTTTGCTAAAGTTGAGGAGCTTGTGAAGGTAAGGGTGGCAATGTGAGCAAAATCAAGTTTTTGAAAGGTGTCCATTTTTCTATTCATGACCTTGTCTCAAACATTAGGGAGGTCAGATTTTGCTTGTAATGGTTGGTGTTGATTTTGTCTGACTAAGGATAGGTGGGTAAGTTTTATTCTGTAGCTATTGTGGTTGTTGCCCTGTTGGTATCTCACTAGCAGTGGGTAGTTGCGGTGCATATGAGTTGGTGTGCCTTGCAGTGTTAACATTGTTGTGATCTATAGTGGCTTGCTGTGATGCTTGTGCAGTTATTTTTGTTTTTCCTTTATTGATGTATTTTGTACTCTTGTATGGTTTTCACCATCAATGAAGTTTCTTTGGTTGATCAACAAAAAAAAAAAAAAAAAAAAAAAAAAAATCACTATATATGTTAGATGTTGTAGTTAGGTTTTACCGTATTAGGATATTTCCATAACTTATATATATATATATTCACTATATATGTTAGATGTTGTAGTTAGGTTTTACCGTATTAGGATATTTCCATAACTTTCTTGTTGCCCACTCTTACCTAACCTATATGTAGGTATCTTCATTGTATTGTAAGATACATAATATTAAGTATACACATAATATACATATAATATTCTCTTTCTCTCTCTTTTAGATTTTGTAAGACCATCTCCAATGGTTAACCAACTGTTTCATCAAATCTAAATTTGATGAAAAAACTTACTTTCTGCCGCTCCAATAGTTCACCAAATCTTTCAACAAATCTAGGATTTCTCAAATGTTTCATTAGATTGAGGATGGATGTGCCTAAAAACAAATCACTATTCATAGCTGTTAGATTTTCACCACTGGATGTCCCATCGGATGACCACCTCAAGGCAAAAAATTGTGAAAAATTTACACTGGCTGGTTGACTGGCTGGACATCCGCTCGATTGTCCCCCTAGATGACCACCTCAAGGCAAAAATTTTGCAAAATTTACATTGGCCGGTCAACTGACCGAACATCCGCCCAGTCGTCCACCCGGTAGAC